GAGGTGCAGAAGCAGGCGGGGCGGGGGCGGGAATAGAAGGGGTGGGGGACAGGTTGATGGGGAGGGGTGTGGGGATTGCCTTGAGGATTTAGGGAAGTCTCTATTTGTGCTGTCTTTATAAAAAAGCCAAAAAGAGTCTGATTAACCGAGGCACACAGATTTCAAAAGCCAGTTTTCTTTGGCAGATCATCAACTCCCACTGAAGTCAGGGTCCTTAAACTTTTGGGGAGGAGACCCTGTGATTCCTTCTTTGAAGCCTTGAGCTATGGGGCTAGGGGCCCAAAGTGGGCTTTCTGTGTCCTCATAGACATTCTGAATAGCATTCTTCTGTGGTGTTATTAATTGTTAAATTCTTGAACTCCCTCCAAAAACATACCAGGGTCAAGTCTATTGTACTCTGTGTCCCGTTGGTGTCTAGTGCAGTGCTTGCCGCATAAGCATAATTGCTGCAGCTATCTTTTTCTCTCATTTTTTTTTTTTGAGAAATAATTGACATACACTACTGTATACATTTAAGGCATCCGGTGTGAGGGTTTGATTTACATTTAGTTATTTTAAGAAGCACTTACCCCAATCCTGAAGTGGGTGCTCCTTTCTTCCTCATTTGGGGATGGGAAAATAAGGTTCAGAGAGGTTAAGAGGCCCAGCTAAGGTCGCACAACTGGAGGTGGCCCAGCTGGGATCTGGCCCCTCCGAGGGCTGTCTTATGAACTGTGTCAGACTCCCTCTGTCATACTGAGCAAATGTTTGTTGAATGACTGACAGTGTTGACATGTGGTGATGGGTGGATGCATTTGAACGGCTGGCCTTTGCCGGCTGCAGCTGTTTATCAGGGACCCAAAGAGAGAAGGTGATCCCGTTTGGGGGTTGGGGTCAGGTGTGGAGATCTACCAGAGATTTAGATGTTCTGGTGGGGTCCAGAGCCACCCAGGGGTGTTTTCAGCCTTCAAATGACATGGCAGGATCTGGTTTCCAGGGTAGAGTGTTCTCCATCCTCCTTTAAAGCACTTACCATGATGGGAAGATGCATGGCGAGATTATGCAGCTGACAAGTCCTTATCTCAGCAACCTGGTTCAAGAGCCCGTGTCTTGATCCCTGCCCAGGGTGTCTGCCTGTCTAAGCACTCTTATTGGCCACCTGGATTCCTGCAATGCCTCTCCTTGTTTCCCCTCAGGCCTCGTCTATTACCCCACACCCCTTGGTCTCTGTTCCATCCAGCCACACGAGCCTCCTTGCTGCTCCTTGAGCATGCCGAGTGTACTCCCACCCCAGGACCTTTGCACATGCTTCTCCAGCCTTCAGAATGCTCTATGTTACCCAGGTGGCTTGCCTGACTTGCCTCCCCTCCTTCAGGCCTTTGCTGAAATGTTGTCTTCTCAAGGAGGCCTTCCCAGATCCTCATCTTTTTAAAAATTCAAACCCCGCTTCTCAGCACTCTCTAGCCACCCCCCCAAATTAATTTTTCCATAGCACTTATCAGCACCTGTCATTCTTTTTATTTTACTTGGTTATTGGTTGATCGTCTGTCTCCCTCGACTAGAATATAAATCCCAGGACGACAAGAGATTTTGGTCTGTCCTGCTCATGGCTGTGTCTCTAGTGCCTAGGACAGTGCCTGGCACAGAGTTAGTTCTTTGTAAATGTCTGTGTCTGGATTCCCTCAAGCTTTCCTGGCTCCAGGATCTCTCCGTCATCATATCTTTGATGAGCAGGTCCAGAGACAGATCCCGGGGCACACCGCCAGAGACCTCCTGCGGGCTGACATCGATTCATTTATCAACATCCCTCAAACTGGGTCACTTGACAGATTACGAATCTACTTAACCATCCAATCCCTCAGCCCTGACACATAAGCTCCCAGAGGAGGGAAGGTGGGTCTGATTTGTTTGATTTTATGAGCAAAATACATTTAATTCTTTGCTTTGTACACTCTAATGCTTAATACATGTTTGTTGGAAAAAAAAACAAACATCAAAAAGAGCAGCAGGGAAAAGGTCTCCTCCAAAGTAATCTACAAACTATCAATATCTTGTTTCCTTAGGTGCTTGTCAATTCCCACGGGCCCTTCCCACCCCAATCCCCACACCCCAGTCTTGGTGGGGGAACAGCATCTGTTTACGTACAGACAGGACGTGACTGAGCGACTAACACGCTTTCTTAGGGGCCTGACGGCTCTGAAAGGAATGAACAGAGAGAAATTGGCTGATAATCTTTAGGGGAATCAGGGAAAATATTATGCAGTTGAATGTATTTATACACAGATAGTTTGCTCTGACGAGAGGCCCTGGGGAAGCGGGAGAGAGGCTGGCGGGTTGAGTGCGGAGTAGAAAAACAGAGAGATTCCACCCTCTCGCTTCACAGAGGTCACGTGGCAAAACGGGGGCTCCAGGCGCCTTTAAACATGTTATTTGTTCGGTGCCCATGAAGCACACGTACTTTATACCAAAATATCTCACTGCATCCTTGTAACAGTCATTTCCTCTCTTTCACAGCCGGAGAAACAGGCACGCAGCAGGCCGGGGACTTGCCCAGGCCTGCAGAGGGTGCTGGGGAAGGGCAGGGAGGAAGCCCCCAGGCTCACTGGTCCCCACGGTGGCCCCGTCCTCACCTTCACCTAACTGCCCAGGCCTGGGTTTGGGGTGTGCCCCTTCCTCTGGGGGGAGGCAGTCAAGCCCCGAGACAGTGGGATGGACTGGGTGGCCTCCCAGACACCTGCTTCCCGTCCCTCCGTCCCCAGAATCCCTTCCGGATGCTTGATTCCCCGGGCCCAGGTGGCTCACAATCCCCGCGTCGCTGTGCGAGCTGGGACTAGTCAGTGGGGCCTCGCCAGCCACGGCCGCCAGGGAGGCAGGAGGGGAAGAAAGGGAGAGACCCAGTCTCACCCTGCAGCGTCAGCCTGGGCTCTGGAAATGAAATGCCTTTTAATTTCATCGTCCGCTTTCCTTTTCTCCCCTCCATCATGCTGTCTGGTGCCAGGAGGCCCTTGGCCACTGCATGCGTGTTTAACAAATCCGATAAAGCCTTTCTCTGGCTGGCTGCGTGCTCCCTGGAGCTGGGCTGGCCTGGGAGACATTGCTTCCCTCAGGCTTCACACCTGTGCCCGGGGTGGGGTGGGGTGGGGTGGGGGAGGCCAGAGGATGCCTGGGACACAGTCCTGAGACCTGAGTGCTGGTCCCAGCTCTGCCACCCACTCTCGTTTTGACTTCAGGCAATCCCTGGAAACAGCAGATCTTCTGTGCAGTGTCAGGATTAGACAAGGTCAGTGGCTTTATAGTATTTTAAGCAGTAAAACCCAGTTTCCCCAAGTGCAAGGCGCTACGGAAGTCTCCCCGTGGAAGGGTCTGGCCCTTGGTCACTACTCCCCTGGACCTTGTGTGTGTGTGTGTTTTAAAGATGACGGGCTTGTTTCTGCCTTGGGGCCTTCGCACTTACTTTTCCGTTTGCACTAGACTACCCTTCTCCTGGAATGATGGGGGTGGCGTGGCTGGCCCTTCTGTCGTTATTCAGGAGTTAGCTGGGATGTTACTCCCTTAGAGAAGCTTCTCTAACCAGCTAATGATTCGAGTCGCACCCCAGTCATTCTGTACCCAGTTTCCAGTTTACCGTGTCCTCAAGGCTCCTTGGTACTTCCTTGTGTCTTTATGTTAAAATGTTTATGGGCTCTTTTCCCTACTAGCTTACAAGTTCCGTGAGGATAACTTGGTCTTTTCATTGCTCCCTTCATAGGTGTAAACAGTGAAGGTACTCAGTCTTTCCTTGATGAATGAATAAATGAATGATGATCTAAAACAGGTGAAGGTGACGTCGATCTGGGTGTGGAGGGCTGTGTAACCCCACTTGTTGGATCATCCCCTCACAATCTCCATCCTCCATCTTTGAGGTCCCCCTGCCCCTTCTTGGGGGCTTCTCTTGTGGCTCAGCTGGTAAAGAATCCGCCTGCAATGTGGGAGACCTGGGTTCGATCCCTGGGTTGGGAACATACCCTGGAGAAGATGAAGGCCACCCACTCCAGTATTCTGGCCTGGAGAATCGCAAAGAGTCAGACACGACTGAGCAACTTTCATTTTTACTTGCCTGCTATGGCAGTGCCACAAAGCCTGGTTTGAAAACCGTCTGGGCTTCTCCTAGCAGCTCTGACAATCCATAGCCAACTCCAAAGATGTGGTACAGCCAGGAAACGCTGGGGCTTCAGAGAAGGGCAAGGTGAGGGCTGGATTCCTCTCCTAGAAGGTGGCCCTTAACTTGGTTTGGGAATTTAGAGCTGGTGGAGAGAGCCTTTGAGGAGGAAGAGAATCAGGCCTCGGAGTGGGGTGGAAGCAGGCCTTCTCCAGACAACCGAGAGCCAGCCGGGTTGGTGGGAGGTGGGAGACTATGGGAAATGTTGGACATGGCCAGCTGTCAGAGGGTCTTCAGTGCTAAGGTGGGATGCTTGTGCCGATGTCTGATGTATGGGGGTCAGCCCTGAGGTTCTGAGCAGGGTGGTGGGTTCATCAGGGCCTTGCATGTGGGCTATTTAAAAGGGAGAGGGGGGAAATGGAGGCAGGGAGACTGGGGAGGAGGCTGAAAGATGAGGCCTGGGGGTGGGATGGAACAGGGGTGGGATTCAGAAGAGAAAGGGAATGAAGACGGGAGCTGATTGGGCAGTGAGCTTATTATGGAGGGAAAGGAAAAGGGAAGAGGCTAAGGTCATCTGAAGTTCCCCATCAGCTTATGATGCTCTGGTCCAGGAATCACCCTGGAGGACTGTGTTGGCAGGGATGGTGGGGGAGGGCTGGGCTTATAAACATTCCCTCCCTGCATCCCAAGCTTACAGGGAGGCAGTTGCTAAGGCTTCAGAGCCCAGCGGCTTCCCCCACCACCCCCCATTTTGAGCTGCCTGGGCAAAGAGAAGCCTTTGGGGCAGCCCTCGGGTTCGGCTGCAGGTTCCCTCCCTGCAGCCTCAGGATTAGGTCACCCACAGACCTCAGGAGCGGGTGGGGATGACTCAGTGTCGACTCACCCTGACCGCAGAGAATGGGGCACACCATGGAATATGCTGGGAGTGCCGGCCGGGGGTGGTGGCGGGGGCCTCCTTTGGCTCATGAGGGCTGCAATGTCGCGAGCATGTCTGCGGAGGTCTGCATTTCCCAAGCGACGAGGACAAGGTCGTCTTTGCTGTGCCGTGGTCGTCCCCTGAACCCTCTTCTCCAGCATGAGCCCTGAGCACCCCGTAGTCCTCACTGTTCAGACAGAAAAGGGGTCAGAATTTAAGGGCACATTCTATTCAGGGGCCTGTTCTAGAGTCTGGGGGAGCTTCCTGGAGCGTGTGCCCTGACCGTTAGAAATGGAGGATATTCTTTGATGTCGAGAGTCAGTTCTGGATCTTGGGGAAAACTTACTCTGGAATTGGAAGACAGATTTCAAAATTATAGGCCTGTTCCAAAACTCTGGGCTCTTTTTCAGAATTCTTGGGAATGCTTTGGAAGCCTGGGGTGTATTCTGGAATTCTGGGATGTATTTATGAACTCTGGGGACCTGTTAAAGTCCTGGGCTGGCTCCCCGTCATCCTCCTTGCACCTGTCTTATCTGCTGTGATCTGCCTGTACAGTGGTTACAGAGAGGCAGTTGCTATGGCAACAGTAACCGTGGGGTGTATCAACTCCTAGCATTTACTCTGAGTCTGTGACATTTTAGCTGGTGGAAAACCACAGTGAGCTCCCGAGAGCCTGATGAGCAGGGATTCCTGCTAAACCTGACTTTGAGCTTTCCTTCCCCCCGCAACCTCAAATAACCTCCCTCTGGGCCCTGGATCTGGCTGCCCTGACACTCCCTTGGGCAAATGAATATTCAAAAGCAGCCAAAAGTGTATTCAAATCTCATAAACTTCCGCCTGCCTTGCTCCATTTAAATGCAACAGCATCTTCGGTTTTGCCCCATTTATCCGCCAGGAGGGGAAGAGTCATTCCAGGAGCTGTTTTTCCCGAGTCGCTTTAACCTCCTAAGTGGCTAACGGAGGGGCGAGGCTGGGCTTCTGGCTGTGCAGATCGGGCGAGGCAAGGCTCCCAGAATCCTGAGATGCTGATGCTGGACCGCATCTGCTGAGACTGTGGTCCAGGGAGGGGGAGTGACAGCAGATGAGCAGCAGCGGCTGAAAACTAGGTTTCCTGACCCTCAGGTTAGGCGCTCCCCCACAGTGGCCGTGTTCCTAACCAGTAGGCCCCCTGTTGTCAACTTCTGTCTTCCCCTCTCTCCCCCTGGGGGCGCTACGTGGGTCTTGCCTGAGCTAGCCTTCTTGCCTGAGCCCCTCCTATCTACAAGATCATAGACTGTCATGTGTGGAAGACCCTTGAGAATCATCTGGGTTCTGTGGATGGAGAAACTGAAGCCCAGTTCAGTTCGGTTCAGTCGCTCAGTTGTGTCTGACTCTGCAACGCCATGGACACAAGGCCTGGCACATCAGGCCTCCCTGTCCATCACTAACTCCTGGAGCTTGCTCAAAGTCATGTCCATCAACCATCTCATCCTCTGCCGTCCCCTTCTCCTCCTGCCTTCAATCTTTCCCAGCATCAGGGTCTTTTCTAAGGAGTCAGCACTTTGCATCAGGTGGCCAAAGTATTGGAGTTTCAGATTCAGTATCAGTTCTTTCAATGAATATTCAAGACTGATTCCTTTCAGATTGACTGGTTTCATCTCCTTGCAGTCCAAGGGACTCTCAAGAGTCTTCTCCAAAACAACAGTTCAAAAGCATCAAATTTTGGTGCTCAGCTTTCTTTATGGTCCAACTCTCACATCCACACATGACTACTGGAAAAACCATAGCTTTGAGTAGATGGACCTTTGTTGGCAAAGTAATGTCTCTGCTTATTAATATGCTGTCTAGCTTGGTCATAGCTTTTCTTCCAAGGAGCAAGCATACTTTAATTTCATGGCTGCAGTCACCATCTGTAGTGATTTTGGAGCCCAAGAAAATTAAGTCTGTCACTGTCTCCATTGTTTCCCCATCTATTTGCCATGAGGCCCAGAGACATCCACAGATGGTTGATCAGTGGCAGACCAGGGACCTGAATTTCAGGCTCTCAAATCCCAGCCCAGAGCTGTTGTGGTCATACTCACCTCTCCCATATTATTAGTTATTACCTCATTATTATTATCACCGCATATTATCGGTTCAGCATTTGTCTCTCCATCATCCATGCATCATCTATCCATCCATCTACCCATTGTCCACCTAGCCATCCATCCATGATTCATCTGTCATCCATCCATTCAGAAAGATATTAAGTACCTGCTAAATGTCCTGTACAACCTTGGGCCTCAGCAGTACAGGAAGCTCTTGGTTGTCTTACCTATGTCTCTTAAGATTGGGGCCATCCAGTCTATCTCACCTCACTCTTCTGCCGAAAAGAAATTCTCCCACTGAGACCATCAAGTGCCCATCCCTGCCCCCTGCCCCCGCTGCCAGCACACCAAGCTCCTTCTGACCTCTGCCCTTTTGCTAGTGATGCCCTTCCTGCCTGGGGCCGCCATGGATGTGTGTGTTTTCAGTTGCTCAGTCATGTCTGACTCTTTGCAGTCCCAGGGACTGTAACCTTCCAGGCTCCTCTGTCCATGGGATTCTCCAGGCAAGACTACTGGAGTGGGTTACTGTGCCCTCCTCCAGGGGACCTTCCTGACCCAGGGATCAAACCCAGGTTTCCTGAATTGCTGGCAGATTCCCCAGCAGGGGATCCTGGGGCCCCCTTGCTCACAGTTTACCCAAACCCTACTCATTGTTTCACCAGTGGCTTGGATGGTTAAGAATCTGCCTGTGATGTAGGAGACCCCGGATTGATCCCTGGGTTGGGAAGATCCTCTGGAGAAGGGAATGGCAACCCCCTCCAGTATTCTTGCCTGGAGAATCCCATGGACAGAGGAGCCTGATGGGGTATATAGTCCATGGCCTGTCAGAGAGTCGGACATGACTGAATGACTAACACACTCATCATTTAAGGCCACAAAAGCCCCTCATCCTTACAAAGTATTTCTTCACCATCCCAAGCTGCCTGAGCTCACCTCTCTCTTACAGCCCTTGGAAGGTGAGCCCCTGTTTCCTGCCGTTTGGTTTCCTCCCAGTTCACTCTTTGAGATCTGGCCCTATGCTGTTTTGCTACTAATGTTGCTGTTGGTATATCACATTTGGGCAATGCTGTGATGTAAAGAATATGCCAGGAGATGAGGACTCAGACAAGGGATCAAGTCTCAGCGTTATAGATGAAGTACTGTGTGATCTTGAGCAAGTCGCTGGACCTTTCTGAACTGCGGAGGTTTGCAGTGTGGATTCCTGAGATGGTACCTTTGAGAATGCTGAAGTGCTGAGTGAACCGGAGGGGGTCTTCCTCAGTTCAGGATCTGTCCTCCTCTGTGCTACCTGGGCTGGTGGTCTTGAATGACTGCTGACAGCTTAGGGCACAGACACCCTCTTTCTTCCCTATTCCTCATCCCCTTTGAGGGAGCGGAGCTTCAGGGCTGTTTCCCTAGAGAGGCCTTGCAGAGCAGCCTTTTCTTTCTAGTCTCTTCTCTCCAGGTGAGATCCAAGGCAATGGTGGGGGGTGGATATCTCTTTTCTCCCAAGAAGACTCATTTCCTCTATTGGTTGAAGATGAACAGAGCCCAGACCAGCCTTGGAGTGTTTCTGAGGGGCCCTGGCTTCCTCGGGGACGACCTCCTGTCTGGGAAAACAGGAAAGCACTTGGCGGCGCCTTGATTCCCGCTCTGTGGGTTCCTGACTTTAATCTTCATCATGTTTTTCTTTCCTGAAGTGTGGCTTTAACACTCTCTGGGGGCCTGTGGGAGGAGGTTTGTGCCTTAAGCACCTTTTTTTTTTTCCCTCCCTAGTGATTGATCTGTGCTTTCCAGAGCTGAGATGTCTTCCATCACTGTGGTTCCAGGAGATAAAGCAGCCAGTTCCTTCCCCTCCACAACATAAATCAAAACAGGTCTAAGTACCATGTGTTGGCCTCAACCATGCATGCACGCGTGCCCACGGCATATGCAGGCCCAGGTGTGCACCCAGGAAGGCGTGTGTTCACACAGGGATGGGTGTGCACAGGCTGGTACCTGTGCTCACCTCCCTACAGGCACACAGAAAATGTTCGTGTCCCAAGCCTGTGGGCTTAGCTGCATCTCCCTTTCCCACTCAGGGGGTGTCCACTCGACTGGGTAGATTTATACATGTGGGTGTTCACCATGTGCATGGGTTTGTACACCCACAGGCACCTATCTGTGTAAAAATGCAGACCCATGTGCACCTGCGAGATAATCATAATAGCTGATGGTTACACACACCTTTGCGCCAGGCACCGTGAACTCAAGAGTGTGAACAATTGGGCCCTTGCAATAACACTGTGACTGTATACATGTGGCTGTATTATTAGCCCCATTTCCCTGGATGTGGAAACTGAGTCTCAGGTTATCTAACTTGCCCAGGTTCCCACAGCTAGGATGTAGGAGGGCTGGGGTTTGAACGCAGGCAATCGGCCGCATGGTCCACACTCAAAACCACTCTGCAGACAGGCACGACCAGGATTAGCCTGGTCCTTCCCTCTCGCAGGAGTGGAAGCGCAGGGGAGTCTGCGTGGGGTGAAAATATTGGCACGTGGTGGGAAGCTGCCCTCTTGGGAACCGCTGGGAGCATTTCAGCTTTCTCAGGGGGCCAGTGCTGCGAAGCTCCTGAGCTAGCCTCTCTAAAACTTTCCTTGCATTTTCTTTTCTCAAATCATGTGCCCCAAGGCCCAGCTGAGCCCCGTCAGGCGGGAAGTGGAGAACCAGACCTCGCCCCCCAGTACTGCGTCTTTGCCAGCAGCCAGGCAGCTCTTAGGGCCCCTGCCCCGTCTTGCTCCCATCCCCAGCCTCATCTCCTCCTGCTGAGGTCACTTTTCGGGGCCCCTTTCTCCCACGCGTACGGTGTGGCTGAGGATTTCCCTTGGGTCCTGCTTCTGGCTCTGCTGCTTTTCAGCTGTGTGACCTTGGGCAAGCTTCTTGACGTCCCTGAGCCTCAGCTTTCTCATCTGTAAAGTGAAGATAGCATCGACACCTTCCCCAAGAGGTAGCGGGAAGATTACAGGAGTTAATCTGTGGAAAGGGCTTAGAACTGCTCTGAGCACTTGGCCATTCTCATCGTCGTCCCCGTTGATCTAGTTCTCACTGTGTTTGTGCCTGCTGATTGCCAGCCTTCCCTGGCAGGCGGTGTGCTCTAGAAGGG